GGATTCCTCCCTACTCCACCCCTGGAGCTTGATTTAGATGCAGTTGTGAGGCCCCTGGTATGGGTGCTGGAACCCAACTCAGGGACCTCTGGAAGAACAGCCAGTGCTGAGTCATCGATGAAGCCAGCAATCCAGGGAGTCAAAGTGACAACCACGAGAGGCAAGGAAGTGGGGATCATAAACACGGACCACTACCTTTCTCTGGTGGGCACGGAGCCCAGGTGTGAGCCCACCAGGCAGGTGCGCGCCACGGGCTCTGCCCCAGCAGCCTTTCTTTCTATGAAGAGAAGGGGAGAGGGCAGACAAGACAGCTCTGCGGGCAAAGGTGCCTGCCACCAAGCCAGACAGCCTAAGTTTGATTGCTGGGTCCACGCGATGAGAGGAGGGAAAGAAGGAACTCCCAGAAGTTGTCCTCTGACCTGTGCACATGTTCCCTGTGGCTAGTGCACACTATCACACATAACATACACTAAATAATTTTTTTTTTAAGTTTGTTCTTGAGATAGGATTTTACTAGCTTGACCAGGCTGGATTCGAGTTCATGGAGATGGGCCTGCCTCTGCCTCACGAGTGCAGGAATTAAAAGTGTGCCACCACACCCAGCACCATTTCCAGCTGTTAGGTGATGAAGCCCATTTCCCAAATGATGATCAGTGTAAACTGTGCAATGCTGCCATCTGCTGGCCCTTATGGCTTCTATGTAACAGCCAGATTTTGGGTTCAAGGGCCAACCCAACCAATGTCAGGGCCACAGAAGAGCGAAGGAGGAGTGTGCCGAGGGAAGGGAGTGAGGAAGAGGGGGCCAGGCGGTGAATAAAAACAGCTCTCAGACAAAGGTGGCGTGGGGACGTCAGTAACTGGCCCCAGGCCCCAGAAACCGGGCCAGGAGACTGCAGGCACCTTCCTACAGGGGGAAGTGCTGGGGTCTAGGTGGCATGATCTAAATGATGCCCAGATCGTCCCAAAGATGGAAGCCGCCTGGTTAAATGATGCCCACATCCCTGGAAACACCCTGGAAATGAGGGTGGGCCGGGAGTCCAGGGAAGCCATCTTTTAAAAAAATATTTGTTTTATTTTTTATGTATGTTGCTGTTTTGCCTGCCTGCATGTGTATGCCTGTATAAGGATGTTGGGAACTTGAGTTACAAAGAGTTGAGCCACCAGGTGGGTGCTGGGAATGAAACCCAGGACCTCTGGGAGAACAGACAGTGCTCTTAACCTCTGAGCCATCTCTCCAGCCCCAGAAAACCATCTTTCCTGTGCTTCCCGGCAGCGGCTACTGCTTCTCCCAGCAGCCACCTCAGCAGTCCCCATCTCAGCACTGGGAGGCAGCCATAGGTGGATCTCTGAGTTCGAGGCCAGCCTGGTCTACATAGAGAGCTCCAGGACAGCCAGGGCTATACAGAGAAACCATCTCAAAGACACAAACAACAAAAACCAGCCAAACAAAAAGATCTGTCACCCTGTCTCCTCATTCTCCAGCAGAGGTGACTCGGTGATCCTCGGCCTTCGTTGTTCTGTCCAGTAAGGCCGACGCAATCATTTGGTGTTTTGAGTGTGTTGACTCGGGCTGGAGAGATGGCTCAGAGGTTAAGAGCACTGACTGCTCTTCCGGAGATCCTGAGTTCAATTCCCAGCAACCACATGGTGGCTCACAACCATCTGTAATGAGATCTGGTGCCCTCTTCTGCCGTGCAGGCAGAACACTGTATACTAAATAAATAAAATCTTAAAAAAAAAAAAAGAGTGTGTTGACTTTCACCCTCAATGCTGCTAATCTTAGAACTTTGGCAGCCCCCCCCCCCCCCCGCCACCCCTTACTATCCTACTTCCCAGTCTCTAGGCCCACAGCTGATACCTGCTTTTCATTTTTTCCCCCTTAAAGTCAAGAGTGGTGGCGCACTCCTTTAATCCCAGCACTCTGGAGGCAGAGGCAGGAGGTTGCTCTGTGAGTTCGAGGCCAGCCTGGTCTCCACATTGAGTTCCAGGATAGCCAGAACCACATAGTGAGAACTGTGGAGTTTGTTTTGTTTTTAAATTACATTGATTTATTCTATGCAGATACGTGTTGTTTGTGCATGTATGCCTGTGTACCATCTACGTGGCTGGTGCTCTCAAAATAGGACATTGGATGCCCTGGAACTAGAGTTACAGATGGTTGGCAACCCCCATGGGAGTGCTGAGACCTGAACCTGGACCCTTAAAGGTGATAAATGTTGCTAACAGCTGAGCTACCTCTCCAGCCTCTCATTATATATTTTATTTGACTCATTGAACTTTTCATTTACAGCATTTCTATTTTTGCTAGTTTTGTTTGTTATTGAGACAGGACCTCACTGGCCTTGAATTAGTATACATGGCTGATGATGACCCAAGTGTCAAGTTATAGGCGTGCCACCATGTCCAATCTGGACTCAGTTTTGAGTGCCTGGCTTGATCCAGTCAGTTCCCCTCTCAGCAGCAAAATTTACATTCCAGATCTCTTCCTTAGACAGGGTCTCATGCTCTGGAGCCACCGTGAGTAGCCCCATTCCCATTCCTCCTCCGGCCAGGTGTTAGACAGCTCGGGTGAGCCCCCCACTCTGGTGCTCTGAGGCCTCGGTTATTCCAATTAGCAAATCAACAGGAGTCTGTCTAACCTCTCCCAGAAGCCTCCCTACATGCTTTTCTAGCTCTCTCTAATCAGCCTTGCCTGGCAGATTTCTCTTCCTTGTAGCTGTTTCTGGCTGCTTGGCCACTGAAGTAAGCCACTGCGGTTGTGCCTCAGAGTCTCAGGGGTCTTCCCCTGGAGGTGTGAGGGGCTGGGCTTCGTATTTCAGATGTGCTGCTCCCAGCTAGCCTCAAGTGTGTTCAAGCCTCAAGTGTTGGAGTCAGACTTGGTCCACCAGGGGACGCTACAGCTCCACGTTGGACACAGGTGGTGGTCTGGGCAGGCTTTTCATTGAGTTTTGTTCTTTCCTTCCTCAGAAACCAAGTCTGCTGTGGCTGTGGAAATGCCAAGAGCAGGATTGTAGGCCAACTGTGTCCCTCTGGCTTCCTGTTTCTTTACATTTCTCTTATACTTATTACTAACTTTTACTTTTTGGCAATTTCATACATGTACACAATGCATCCTGGTTACCTGCCCAATCCTATTTTTTGATTTTTAGCTTATTAATATTGTTGTTGTTTAAAGATTTATTTATTCTTTAGTCAGGTTTAGTGGAACACGCACAGGCAAAACAGATCTCTGAATTTCAGGGTAGCCAAGGCTACATAGTGAGATCTTGTCTCAAACTCCAGAACTCCTGCCCCTGAAAAAAAATATTATTTATTCCCATTTTATGTGTTTTGTCTGCATGTATGTAAGTGTACCACATTTCTACAGTGGTCGTAGGCTCAGAAGAGGCTGCTGGATCCCTAGAACTGGAGTTACAGACACTTGGGTACTGAGAACGGATTTCAGGTCCTTTGGGAGAGCAGCCAGTCATGGAGCCATCTCTCCAGCCCCTGGTGTTTAGTTTGAAATCCCTCCTGAAGGACAGCCCCACTAGTGTTCTTTGCACCAGGTGTCACTTGCGAGCCTGACTGCCGGTTATCTCTGGGGTACTAATGCTCCATCTCGAAGGCTGAAAGCTGCCTTCCATCTCAAGACTAACTCAGCGCTCACTGAAACAGCAACTGGGATCCAGTAATGGCTAAAGGGGACAGGGCAGGCTCAGCCATTTCTATTGCTTTCTTTCTTTCTTTCTTTCTTTCTCTCTCTCTCTCTCTCTCTCTCTCTCTCTCTCTCTCTCTCTTTCTTTCTTTCTTTTTAACGTTAATGGATATTTTGCCTCCATGCCTATCTGTGTAGCACATGCTTGCAGAGGCCAGGAGGGCTCATCAGATCCACTGGGATTGGTCCCTACCACTCCAATTTGACCCCCTTACCCACAACAGCCACCCTCCTTGTTGAATCAAAGAGGCCTACAACGTTGCCTTTGTTGGTCAAACAGACACAGTTAGGCTGACTTTGACCTGCTCTACATGTGTCTATTTTTTTGAGTCTTTTCCGTCTTCTTGCTCTGGCCTTGTCAAATCTGGAAAGTATCCAGGAACTGAAGAAAGTCATAAGAGCATTACATAGTCACATACCTATCTGGCACTTTAAAAATTTATTATTTTTTTGAAGCATGTTTTTTTTTTTTTTTTTGTAGCCCTGGCTGTCCTGGAACTTGCTATGTAGATGAGGCTGGCCTTGAACTCACAGAGATCCGCCTGCCTCTGCTTTCCAAGTGTGACCTGCTTGCCTTGCATATTTGCAAGGGAGAAAAAACCAACAGGCCACTTACCAAAAATGTAAGGAATGCTGGGTGGTGGCAGTGCACACCCTTAATCACAGCACTTGGGAGGCAGAGGCAGGTGGATCTCTATGAGTTCGGGGCCAGACTGGTCAATAGGTCGAGTTCCAGGACAGCCAAGGCTACTCTGTCTTGAAAAACAACAACAAAAAGATCATTTTTACTATGTCATCAGTTAAAGGGGGAAATTTTATGTTTTATTTTGTTGTCCACCCCCCCCCCCCCCCCCCCCCCACACACACCAGAGCTGAGGACCGAACCCAGGGCCTTGCACTTGCTAGGCAAGCAAGCGCTCTACCACTGAGCCAATCTCCAACCCCACAAAATGTCTTTTATTACTTTTTTTTAAAGCTGTCTCTGTGTGGTACTGGGGATCAAACCCAGGACCTTGACCACACTATGCCAATTCTCTACATCCCTAACCCACCACAAGTACGTTTTACAAATTCAAACGACTGTAAAAGTTTTTCTTCTCACCCTCCCTCCCTCCATTCCCTTCTTTTTTGAGGCATGGTCACATGTAGCTCAGGTTAGCCTTAAATGTGCTGTGTAGCCAAGGGTAGCGTTGGGCTCCTAAGCCTCCTGCCTCTGTCTCCAAAGTGCTGGGATTACAGGCGTGTGCATTGCACCTGCTCTTCTTTTCATTTTTCTTTCTTCCCACAGAAGGGACCATACCACTCTACCCTCGAGTTTGGGGAAATGAGTCACTCAGGGTTTTTTGTTTTTTTTTTCTTCTTCTTCTTTTCTTTTGTCAAGAAGCTTCATGTGGGTAAGGGAGAGCTGGTATGTCACAGGAAGTCACATACCCTTCAAAGTACCTGTGCTGCTTCAGGGATCCTGGCATTGCCTCACAGACTGTCCTCAGGACCACTTTCAAAAGAGCAAGGTAAGTAGAGACGTAGAGACGGGGCTTTTGGGGGACCTGTGGCTGTGTAGTTGCAGGTTTGGGAGGCAGCACTGACAGGTAGCTAGCCACCTGCCCCAGCCCAGTCCCCCCTCCCCCCCCCCACCTTTTTTTTTTTTTTTTTTTTTTTTTTTTTTCTGTTAGATTTATTTTATGTGTAAGAGCATTTTCCCTGCATATGTGTCTGTGCCCCATGAGTGCGCCTGGTGCCTGTGGAAGTCATAAGAGGAGGGCCTTGGATCTCTTGGAATTAGTTATAGATGGTTGTGGGTGCTAGAAATTGAACCCAGGTCATCGGCAAGAGCTGCAAATGATCTTAGTCACTTAGCCATTCCTCCAGCCCCATGCTTGGGCTTCTTCATCTTGCTGGTGTTCACTGGCCTACATCTTGGAGCGTACATACTTTCTTCCTGCTCGAGTGCCTCCTAAGGCTTGGTCAGCCAGGCATCCACACAGACTCAGCTCTGCCCCCAAACCCTGGACTTTTACCAGGATTGCAAACTTGTCTGCTTCTTTAACAAGTTTTTGAAGTCAAAGGAATGCCACACACGGGAATTACAGAATTGTAAGCAATTTATTTACTTATTTACTAATTTTCTCTTAAGATGTATGTCATTATTTACTTACGTATTCTGTGTATGTGTGTATATGTGAGTACAGCATGCCAGGCTGCTTTTGTGGCTGTCAGAGGATGCTCTACAGAGGGCTGTTTTCTTCTACCTTGTGGAACCAGGGAGTTAAACTCAGACTTGATGGCAAATGTCTACATTTGCTGAGCCATCAATTCTGCCTCACTTGTTTTTGAGAGTCTGATATAGTGTAGGCTGGCCTCAAACTCACTGTGTCGCAGAGGCTGACCTTGAACTCCTGGCCTTCCAGCCTTTGCTTCTCAAGTGCTGGCATCTAGGCATGAGCCACTTTGCTGGGCAAACCGTTTTTGTTTTGTTTTGTTTTGTTTGTTTTTTGTTTTGTTTGTTTGCTCTTCTAAGACTATCCTCATCCCTCTGTTTTGTTTTTTCCTTTAATTCTCACTTGTAAAATGATAGCGACATAACACAGTTGTTAGTCATTGACAAACTTCTCTTGGGAGACCCTGCCATGCAGCAAGTCTTTGGTATGACTTTCCAAGAAAAACAAACAAACAGAATCTCTTTTGAGAAATCCCAGGGCAGGGGCTGGGGAGATGGCTCAGTGGACAGAATGCTTTGCAGCAAACGCACAAGGACCTGAGTTCAGATCTCCAGCAGGCAAGCAAAAGCCAGGTGTGGTGGCACATGCCCGTAGCCCTAGCCTTGCAGGGTGGAGATGGGACATCCTGGGGGTTCCTTGGCCAACCTGACTGCACATGCTCACAGATGTGTACACATATCTATACACTGCACACAATTCACATACACATAGGAACACTAGAGTATTTGAGGCATGCAGTAGTGAAGATATGGGGAGAGCTTGGACATGAATTACTGAACAAAACAAGTATTTAATGGGGACTGCCAGGGTGCCATCAAGACCGAAAGCAGGAAGGATGGGGTAGCCCTGGGCCAGAAAGCTATTCATTCCCACGTTCTCAGGTGAGTGTTTTGTGTGGATAACTGTAAGAAATGTCTTAACCTCTGTACCCACCAATTCATTCATTCATTGTTAAACTTTATTTTCTTATTTGAAAGGGTTTCTCTGTGTAGCCCTGGATGTCCTGGTACTCACTGGATAGACCAGGCTGGCCTTGAACTCACAAAGATCCACTTGCTTCTGCCTCCCGAGTGCTGGAATTAAAGTCGTGTGCCATCAATGCCCAACAGCTATTTTTTTTTTTAACTTAAAAATTGATATTTAGGCTGGGCAGTTGGTGGCACACACTTTTAATTCCAGTGCTTGGGAGGCAGAGACCAGAGACAGGTGGATCTCTGTGAGTTCTAGGCCAGTTTAGTCTACAGAGCAAGTTCCAGTGTGTGTGTGTGTGGGGGGGAGGGGTAGGTCAGATGACAACTGTGACAACTGTGACAACTGTGGCCATTGGTTCCTGCTTTCTATCCCATGGGTTTAAGGAATTGAATCCAGGTTGACAGGCATAGTAGCAAGTACCCTAACCCGATGAACGAGTTCATCTGCCCTGTTTGTTTTAAATTTTTGTTTGTTTGTTTTTGTTTTTGTTTTTTGTTTTTTGAGACAGGGTTTCTCTGTGGCTTTGGAGTCTGTCCTGGAACTAGCTCTTGTAGATCAGGCTGGTCTTGAACTCACAGAGATCTGCTTACCTCTGCCTCCCTAGTGCTGGGATTAAAGGTGTGCGCCACCACCCCCAGCCCATTTGTTTTAATTTTATTTGTTTAGGACTGTTTTGCCTACTTCTATGCCTGGGTACCGTATTTGTGCCTGGTGCCCGCAGAGGCCAGAAGAGGGCATCGGATCCCCTGGAACTAGAGTTACAGACTGGGAGCCACACCATGTAGGAGCTGGGAATCAAACCTGAGTCTTCTGGAAGAGCAACCAGAATTCTTAACCACTGAGCCACGTCTCTAGTCCCTTGTTTTTGTTTTTGTTTTTGTTTTTGATACAAGGTCTGTCTATGTAGCCCTGGAACTCTATATGTATACAAGGCTGGGCTCAAACTCACAGAGCTCTGTCTTGCCTCCTGAGTGTTGGAATTAAATGCAAGCATCACCGTGCCCAGCTTCCTTTTATTCTTTTACATTTATAGTGTGTCTGTGTGTGTATGTGTGTGTATGTCTGTGTGTGTGTGTGTCTCTGTGTGTGTGTATGTCTGTGTGTGTGTGTATGTCTGTTTGTGTATGTGTGTGTGTGTGTATGTGTGTGTGTGTATGTGTGTGTATGTCTCTGTGTGTGTGTGTGTATGTGTGTGT